AACTAATTTACGTCCGTAAAGGTCAAGAGTCAGTAGAACACTGGAAAACTGTTGAATTTTAGAGAAAATGGTCTTGTTAATTATTGACAAAGTCTACCAGGTTTCCTAAAAGTAAATCTCCATCCAAGGTGTATCCTTGCTTTTAAATTAGCTTCATATATTGATTGACTATTATGTAACCCACTCTGTGAAATGAGTCGTAAGTCGCCAGAGCCACTCTTGAGTAAAAAGTCCTTTAGAATAATTTTGCAGAGTTTAAATCAGTACGAACCCACAGCATTTTTCACCATGGAGTATCCACTTTCATCGGGATACCAAACTGAGTGATATATCAAAACAAGAAACTGAATTTGCTCTGTCCAGTAGACCAATCCAATTAGACGCCATAAATGCGGTGGCACTGCACTCACATGCACATTCTTCAGCTTGACTCACGCGTCCATTTGGCAAATCCCGACACCCAATTGGTCGAAGAGGCATGTAACGCGCGTACTTCCTGTCCACGAGCGTTGTACCACCGCAGTAATGGCTTCTAATTCTGGTGGTCGAATTACGCTAAACAAATTAAAACTCAAAAAGTGGATCTTGTGACTTAATCATTTTTGCAGAGTGGGTCACATATACATGTATATTAATATCAAAATTATTAATATCAAGGTTTGTAGAGTGAATTGGCCCTTTTCCCACGTGATATGACCACATTATCAAAAGTTACATTTTACCCGTTCATTTTATGCACCTACAGGGTGATGTCGAAGCTGTGGACCCCCTCATTGTCTCAAATTCAGTATCAATGTACATGTATATGTGTATTTATTCTTCTTGTAATCAGGTACCCTCTATGTAAGAATGATTCTGCCTTAGATGCGGCAAGGTTTAAACTGTAAACAATGCATAATTATGTGAATTAAGATATGAATGAGCAATTTTGGTAAGGTTCTTTTTCTTGATCCTGGGCAGTATGTCTGTATGTGTGTGTGCTTAAGGCGCTATACAGGGGTGTATGTGCATTATTCTCCTGTTTGGAGTACTGTGATCAAAAGACTTGGACTGAGTTCCACAATCAACTACTGAGAGCAGTTTGTTGGTTGTACCCTTGGGAATTGTTTTTAAATACCTTGTGGACAGATGGTTGAGCTCAACATCTACTGTAAAAACTTTTTGTATTTTTAATTTGTGCATATTTTTTTAAAACTAAATACATGTAGCACTTAATTACTCACTTCGTTTAATACATGTACAAATCCGGCCATCCTGCATTTATCTGTTAGTCTCTCAATT